TGAAGATGGTGTGAAGCGTCTTGATTTAAGCAAATCTAGTATTACTTCTTTACCGCCGAATGTCCGTGACTTGACACATTTGGTGGAATTTTATTTATATGGAAATAAGTTAGTAGCACTTCCTGCTGAATTTGGTTGTTTAACAAATTTGCAAACTCTAGCATTAAATGAAAATTCACTAACTAGTTTACCAGACTCCCTTGCTAATTTAAAGTGTTTGAAAGTATTAGATTTGCGACATAATAAATTAAGTGATATTCCTGATGTTGTGTACAGGTTGACATCGCTAACAACTCTATTTCTTAGATTTAATAGAATTCGAGTGGTTGGCGATGGCATTGCCAATCTCACAAACTTGACAATGTTGAGTTTAAGAGAAAACAAAATTAAAGAATTATCATCTGGAATTGGCAAGTTAGTGAATTTGGTAACATTTGATGTTTCGCACAACCACTTGGAGCACTTACCCCAAGAAATTGGATTTTGTGTTAATTTATCTACTCTAGATCTGCAACATAATGACTTATTGGACATCCCCGGAACAATAGGAAACTTACAATCATTGACCCGTTTAGGTCTCCGCTATAACAGGTTGACAGCAATTCCTGCAACATTAAGCAACTGCAAACACATGGATGAGTTTAATGTTGAAGGTAATTCCATCTCCCAGCTTCCAGAAGGACTTCTCGCCAGTCTTAATGAGTTGACTAGCATTACTCTCTCTAGGAACTCTTTCATGAGTTATCCTTCTGGTGGGCCTGCTCAATTTACTAATGTATTTTCTATAAATCTAGAACACAACCAAATTGATAAAATACCATATGGAATATTTTCTAGGGCAAAAAATTTAACTAAACTCAATATGAAAGAGAACTTGCTTACATCTCTGCCACTGGATATTGGTACTTGGATTAACATGGTAGAGCTTAATTTAGGCACTAACCAGTTAGTTAAATTGCCTGATGACATTCAATGTCTCCAAAATTTGGAAGTGTTAATACTCTCCAATAATTTGTTGAGGCGTATACCTCCCAGTATTGGTAGTTTAAGGAAATTGAGAGTCCTGGACTTAGAAGAAAATAAATTAGAAGTGCTACCAAACGAAATAGGATTTTTACATGAGCTTCAAAAATTAATTGTCCAATCAAACCAGTTAACTTCATTGCCCCGCTCCATTGGTCATTTGATTAATCTTACTTTTCTTAGTATTGGTGAAAATAACTTGCAATATTTACCTGAAGAAATTGGTACACTTGAAAATTTGGAGTCCTTATATTTGAATGATAATCCAAATTTATGTAATTTACCCTTTGAATTGGCACTCTGTGTAAGCTTACAAATTATGAGCATTGAAAACTGTCCATTGACTGCAATTCCTCCAGAGGTGGTGTCTTCAGGGCCATCATTAGTAATTCAATATTTAAAGTCTCAAGGTCCATACAGGGCTATGTGATATCAGGAAAATGATAGACCACTAAATACTGATAGCACTTCAGCTTAACATTATGCATTTCTTTGAATATTACTATTTACAGCTTAAATTAAATATTGTCATCTATATGAATATTTAAAAATATTATTATTACTGTGTAGTACATTAGCTATATTTTGATTTCTCTTAAAGTTTCTATGAAGGTTTTATACACCTATCATTTTCAATAATTCTGGGTAACAATAATCTACTAATACAATGCCCGTATTTTATTTATAGTTGATAATATTTATATCTTTCTATATTAATCAACATTCTTAGAGTTAAAACTAAGTGTCCTATTTGTAATTAAAGAATATGAAAGAGTAATAAAAACAAAATATGAAAATAACCATGGATGTTAGTATGATCTTTGTTCTTATATTTTGATGTATATAATAATATGCATGGTAACTATATGATAATGTGTATGATCCTCCATATGAGGATTTGATCTGTTGTTAAACTGCATACAGATCAAGATATGAAATACATAGTGGCCAAATGTTCATGTACTCACTCCTTCAATCTATTTGTGAATGTTTTTATTTTGTAATTTAAAAATATACAACTACATTTAAAAGTGTTAATTTAATAAAGTCTCCCTTTCTAAACCATATTTCAATAATTTGGAAGTAATATTTGTAATACACTTAAAGAGATAACATTTTTCCTGTTTGTTGTAAATCAATTAGATTATAGACATTTTACATCTAGGTATATGGTTTTCAAAGCATATGCCTTGACATTATTTATTTGTAAGCAAAGTTAAGTCTTAGAAAGTCACTGATGCATCTAGAACATGGTGGTTGAATTTAAATATTACTCGATTAAGCATCCAACTAAATTCATTTGTTCAATGTTATATAGTTTAACTGAATTCTGATATTCTCTATTTAAATATTTTTTTTCACTATAGTTCTAGAACAAAATACTATGCTATGTTGACTCTGATTGTATAGTGATATTACTGTACCCCTTTTATTTTAAGTATAATGTTTAACTAGGTTTTTTTATAATCTATTAATAACTTTTTAAGCTAATTCAATAAAATGTGTTGCATTTATTAAAATAAAATTATTGCTACTGCACTTTTAATGAGAAGTTTTGATCTTACTTAATTATAAGTTGTTAATTAGAAGAGAAGCTTATATAAAATTGATTGAAGTTTTTATTACAATGTCTTAATATAAGCATTTTGGGCCGAAAAGTATCAAGAAAATTAATCATATGCATACTTATATTAAACCAAAATTTAAGAGAAAATCTCTTAATGTGTTAAATGTGCCAACTTTATAATTAAATGAACAGTTTGAAGTAAATTTTGCACCAATTATATTATTTTAGTTGCCAGATGAGACTTGACAATCATATTCCCTTGAGATGTCTTTGTTTGGTAGCCTAAGCCTGAATCTGCAAAACAAAAATATATGTGCTGATGACTGAGTGGCCAGTGTTATGTGCGCCCTAACCAGAGTACTTTGCACATAATGCCAATTGTCTTGTTAACTTAAGGAGTACTATTTGATATGTAGAGAATGATACTGCTCTATTGATGAGTCAATCAACTAAATTGGTGTCAGTTTTTGTCATGCCTTTTATACAAACAATTTTGATTGTTGTAATTAAGCAGCCTTTACATTTCAGTGCTTAATTAATGCAGCTAAAAATTAGTTAATTTTATATCATGCTAATCAATAATGATGAAGAAACTAAGTTATTCGAAACTGCACTGATGTTCATGTTCAGTTGTACATGAACATCAGTGCAAGTACAACGGTTTCTGACAATACAAATATATTGCAGAAAAATTTAATTTAATTGTTATAATCTTATATGCTGCTTTCCAAACTAATTTAATGATATTTATGTGTTATAATAAATACTATATAAAATGTGTTCTGTTGTTTGAATAAATAAAAGACAAGCTAAGCTGAGGGGATTGGATTAAATAATACAAAACATTTTTAATTTAATAATTTATGAAGTGCAAATTGAAACATTACACAAATATTCTTTAATTGCATATTTTATATAAATAATTGAATAGTTATATACAAGTTACACTGTAAATCAAAGCAGTTTACAAAATACATATGAAAGATTGATGCGATGTAATTAGATCACACTAAATGCTTTGTTATCCTTAAGCTATGTTTTCACATACAAAAATATTTTGACCTAATAAATCACTATAAAACACACGATTTCATCACATGCCTATCTAAAGACAATACAAAACTAAACAATACAATACTACATTATGTAAAAAAAAAAGAAACTAAAGTAATTGTGCTATATCTGCTTGCACAATTATTATAGCTAAGAAATTATTTTGTTTCCACAATTTTCAAAATAAAGAACCTGGCCAAAATTGCAAGAAACCTTATATTGATCTTAAATTTAAAAATGTTATAAAAATAAACAGTTATTGTCCTCAAAGTTTTTAGAAAAAAAAAGCAAATTTGTTGTGCATATTTCGGTATTTGTAATCTCTATGTTATGATACCTATAATTTAAAAAAAACGCACTGATTTCACCCTGAAGCCGGCAAATGGTTTATGTAATGCATGAAGCAAATGTTATTCTAAACTGGGTTAAGCATGTTTAGACTCCGAAACCTTTTTAATATTATTTAATCCCGTTATTAAATCATAAGATAGAATTATTAAAATAAGCAGCTAAAAGATATTTAGGATAGAATAAGAAAATTCAAAAAGAGTACATCACAATATCCAAAATAAAAAAAAAAAATAACCCAAAATAGCCATTGCTTCTAAATATAATTAAATACTTCGTAACCAAATTTTGACATGGTTTTGTTTTGGTATATTTTCATGATTTTGCAGAGATTAACTGTTTTAAACAAATTTTAATCAAAATTATACAGTAACACATACCTTAGTCTATTTTAATTCTCATATATACTTTGTGGAAAATCAACAAATGATTTGTCATTATAATATTAATTTGTTGCAACTAATGAGAAAAAAATTGAGTATGGGTATACACAATCACTAGCTTCTACAATCAGTCCTTATACACAAGTTGCATTATACTATTAAGAATAATATATATCAAAACATCGAGTTAATGAGGTTTTTCATTTGCATATTATAAAAATAATATTATTAATCAGTACTAATAAACAGTAACAATTTGTTTCCAACCATAATGAATTTCATAATGGAAACTAAAGAGATAAGGCCTTACATCTATTTATAAATCTTTGGCATATTTCATCTGCTTGTACTGAAAGCATAAATAAAAATCTTCATGTGATGTTATAGGTATTTCAAGAATATACCAGTAAAATGTTATTGCAAACAAAAATTATGGCACTAAATTATGTAATATGAATCAATACATAGATAGATAAGAGAACAGTAAACTTTGGAATTCCTACAATAATTTGTAAAAATATGACAATTTTATAAAGTCTGGTATAGAAACATATTATTACTGTTGCCTTGAGATTCCTGCGCGCATTAGTGTCATTAATGACATTTTGGTCGCGGTTTAATATTTACATGATTAAACACTTTCTTTGATGTCTCTTTTGAGGTTCTGGTCTTAGCACAGCTCGTACCGCTTCGTCAAATACCTGAAATGATAATTTTGTAAAAAATAATAATGATCTTTTTATGATTTCTTTTTCATGCTACTCTGCACTGTATATGAAACCTAAATTGTGATTTTTAGTAGATAAATGGAGAAAAATTATAGGGGCTGCAAGATTAAAACTTGCATCATCCTGTTAAAGCGCTCATGCGCTTTACAAACTTTACAACATTTTTTTTAATTGAATGCTTAACTTAATTTTTTATCTTCCAAAAATACACAATTTAATAAAGAAATTCACAATATTTCTCAGTAATGCAAAATAAATATAATAAACTTCAAGTTGTAGAAGTTTACAAAATATTACTGTGATAAGAAAAATCATGATATTCATGACAAAATTGTAAAAATTAACCAATTAGTACTAATTGGATTCCCTGAATTTGATGGCACAATTATAGGCTATGTTAGGAAATAATGTTCTATTTATACAATGTAATTAATATGTTTGTTTGGCATATCATTATTATTTTCTATTTTATGTTTTTATAATGAATGATCAATGGTAATTGGTCATACACATTTTTATGGTAAATCACAAGCATACCTGTTTTAATCCACGTTGTGTCAAGGCTGAGCATTCCATATACTTTACAGCTCTAACTTTATTTGCCAATTTCTGACCCTGTTCTCGTTTTAATGGAGACATTCCTTGCTCTGAGAGCAAACTCAAAGTTTCTCTGTCATCTCTTAAGTCAATTTTTGTTCCTAATAAAAATAAATAATGTAATTTTGTAGGTAACATAGCAAACTAGTGAAAGTATTTTATATTTTATTAAATATACTGTAAGCCTTATGTAAATGCAAACTTAAATAAGTATATCTCTATTAAATAAGTACATATTATAACCTTTATTATAATCTTTATAATTTCACTTACCAACTAAAATAATTGGCGCATCTGGACAATGATGTTTAATTTCAGGATACCACTTAGATGTGACATTTTCATAGGATGATGGACTGTAATATTTAAGAAATGGTTATGAAAGTGAACACTTCAAAACATGTACTAGGTACAGACTACTTTATTAAAAATATTGTTTACCTTGTTACACTGAAGCATATAAGGAAGACATCTGTTTGTGGGTAGCTCAATGGCCTCAGTCTATCGTAATCCTCTTGACCTGCCGTATCCCATAGACCTAGTGACACAGCTACACCATCCACCACCATAGGTGCAGAGTAGTTATCAAATCTAAAAAAAAGTTATAAGGCATATAGTTCTCTGCCATAAGTCATGAGCTTGATGAAAACGAGTATGTTAAAAAATAATCTTATTCTTTATCTACATGGTTTCTACATGAATAAATATAATCTTACACTGTAGGCACATATTCCCCTGGAAAACTGTCTGTTGTGTAAGAAATTAACATGCAAGTTTTACCAACAGTTCCATCACCAACAACCACACATTTGATAGGCCTTCCTGAAGACATCTAGAATTAAAAAAAAATTAATAAATAAAGGCCACCCTATGAGTCACGGAAAATCCGAAATGAAGTAGAAACGGTTTGTTTACTTTGAAACGAGATAATTTAAATTCAGTCCAATGAAGACTAAATTATTATACTCGCTTGCTATGCTTAGTACGAAGGTTTCAGTAGCAAAAAAAGGATTTTTAAACAAATTCAGATCACAATATTGAAAAAACGCATTGAATGATGGATGGATGGTGTCCTTTCCATAGATAACATATAATACATGCACTACATCATAGCCATACCATACACATAACAGAGTCCAAAACTAAGGTTTACTGGACACGATCGACTCGCATTTAATTATTTTAATTTATCTAGGTAGCACCATTAAAAACTATATGCATAACCATTATTACAGCTTAGTGCAACTCAAGGTTAAAAAATGGTGATATTACTTATACCGTACATAAAATGATTCTCCTTGTTTCTTCATTTCCTTTCCCCTGTAAATTATTGCAGACAACACTGAAACAAATGTCAGTCAAATAAATTATTTAATTTATTTTATTCATGTTTTGTTTGGAACTACTTTAGTTTAGCCAAAGTTTAGCGGTCTGTGTGGTCTGTGATTCATTCTGATTCATTTCATTCAATTATTGAGATAAGTTGCTTAGATTAGGTTGATAATTCTCCGTTTATGAACACAGTGAAATATTTTATGTATTCTATATATCTAAAGCAAATGTATTTACCACTTACAACATTTTGTGCGAAAGAAAAGTAATATACACACTTATAACGAAATCTTAATAAGTTTATAGCAACATATACTTTAAGATGAGTGAGTCTTGCGTGGAGACTACGGAGGCACCCGCTTGGTTGTCTAAGTTAGAAAGCCAACGCGAGAAATTAAGTAAAGCCCGGCTTGGCCATGATAGCGGTGCCGGCGCTCCATGTAACTCTTGCGGTAAGTGAGCTATGTACTCAGAATACTGTTGTGGATAGGCTAGGTCGATCGGAGAAGTACTAATGTGCCCAACAAGACAGGTGTAAAATTATTGATTCTTTTGTGTTTCATCCAGTGAGTATAGAGGTAAAATGGGTAATTGTAACTTCTGTGGTGTTTTAAATGTCCATAGGTCCTGGCTTACCATCATTTGGCCCATTTGCACCATAGCCATCCAGTTGTTATAAAAATTAACACATAAACCATTTCAAATTTTGTATAATTTTATAGCTTTTATTATTGAGGGTTTTTTTTTGTTTATGTTAATTGTTACTGTTAACTGTTATAGGTTCAACTTGTCCTGGGTTGGATCTACATTTTTGGCGCAAGGTGTGTCGTGCATGCCACTGTAGTAAAGATGTTCACGATGTACAGGATGATGATTTGTCAGGATGGGCTCAATTTGAACTACTTGGCACTGCTAGACCTAAAAAAGCCTCATGTAAGTATATTAAACTTTTTCTTCTTAGGTAGGCTACAGAGCAGTGAAGGCTTCATTCCAGCATATTGAACTGTGGCCAATGCCTCTTTCCCATGATAATGTCTTGCACATGTCCACAATATAGATTTTCTCATATTAACATTGTCTTGTTATTGGTTAAGATGAAGAAGTACTTCAGCATTTAATGCTCTTTGAGTCCAGCTAATAGCCAATATGTGTCTATATGTCCATGCCTCTAAACCTTATAACATTTCCTGAGGTCTTCTTTGATAGTCTAATCCTTATATTCAGCAAGATATACTTCAGTTGTGGCTTATTGAAGTTAGTTATATTAATGGAAACAGAGCACTTTTTTCATTTTGTTATCGGTACATTGAGCTACTTTGATTTGGGCATTTGTTTCTTAATCACAACTCCAGGTGTGATTGATTCATATACCTAAGTATTTATATTTGCATACCCTCTATATTTTGGACTTCTTTCCCTACTACTGTGATAGCAGTCATCAAAACTATTTAGATATGACCATGGTATTCTTTATGTTCACCTGCAAACCAGTCCTTTCCTCTGGCTGAGACTCTGCTATCAGAACCGTACCATTGAAATCTTCATTGTTATCGTTGTTATCTTCTAGCCATTAATTTTAACTCTGCATACTAGATCTAGAATGGATAGAGTGGGTGATAAGGTACATCCACAAACACCACTTTTGATTTAGACCTTGTCCATGTCCTCATTACCAACATGAATGAGTACATGTGGATTCCAATACAAGTTGTGAATGATGTGTAAGTCCTTGCCATCTAAGTTAAGGTTGTATAATACTTGCACTTTTTCGTAATCAATGAAACAAATGAAACCATCTTGTTGTGCACACTTGCGTTTTTGCATCTGCACTTGTATATGCAAAAATAGTCTTGTGCCTACATATCATTGAAAATCAAAATTACTCTGAATGTTTATCTTGACATTTAGTTCATTTACATTTGTGCGTGATATTTAAAAATATTTTGGAAATTTCCTCAATATAGCCTCTACAATTCTTTAAAACTTCAAGCTTTGTTGACAAATATAATGAAAGATCTGCAAGTCTGCCAAAGTATATGCCAGAATCATACACTAATTTTAAGAAATTTAAAAGAGCATCAATGTTTTCTCCTCAGTAAATTATGCCTCTTTGTAAACATTGTTTGGGCCGGTTGTTTCCTATTTAAGGTTTCCTCAGACCTATTGTATATTCTCCCTTGAGGATAGGGTACCCGTCATTATGGTAAAAAGGTACAGCCAAACCTAGAGAGTCATCTGTAATAATAAAGTATTTTATCCACAGTGCCCTTGATCAAGATTCGTGGTGTAACAGATAAACCTGTCAAATTAGACTGGGTGCCTCCTAATGCATCTACTGAACTGGTAATAATGCTAAGTATATAACATAGATAACCTATCTTGAGCTATTCACAGATAATTTTATCACTTGTTTTAATGTATATGTATGAACAATACACTACCCACTACCAGCAAGGTTATTTAGGTCACAGGAAGTTTTATTGGTTATATTTATATATATCTATATATATCTATATATATCTATATATATGTTTGTAAGAGATTTCTGTCAATAATTGACTCATCACAATATCTCTGGAACCATAAGGGGTAGAGAATCGAAATTTGGTAGGAATATTCCTTTCGCCGAGTAGAGATTTTCCGAAATGTTACCTGTAGGGTCAGCTATTTTAGGTATATATCAGCACTTACTTAAGGGACCTTTGTAGTTTCAAATTTTTTTTTGTGTATGACTCTTTAGCAGTAGATATTCTTTTAATTGGGCAAATCACCAGTGTCTATTAGAATACAAACTGTTTTCATATTTGGACAATTGTAATAAACATATTTAAACTTTTCTATTTCAGGTATCTGAGTACATGTCATGTTTGGGGCCATTAGCACCAGTGTCTGGGTCGGCTGCGGCGCGAAAGAGACGCGCTCAACTCCGAACCCAGCTGCCGCCTCATGACGTAGCGCCAGCCGCCCGCCATCACGCAACTGACCAAGAAAAAACAGAACACACGGTATGCTGTTTATTAGCTTGTTGCAATAGTGTTCCCTTTTACATGAGTAGTCTTTCAGATATGTCTATGATTTTTAAACTTTAATATGATTTTATATCACGGTGGTAGAGTCAAGCAACTTCTGCTGTTGCATGAATGGGAATTTGGCCACAACCTTACAGAGGACCGACACAAAGTTTAAGTATTTGTACCTTTGCATTTTGTTTAATCAGTGGGGTTTCATTATAGACAAAGTGGAAAAGGAGTAAGCAACACACCTGATGGTAAGTCATCAGGTGAACCCATGGAGGAGCATGGCATTCACATCACCAGAGGAGCTGCAAATGTGTGGCTGGCCTTTACTGTAGGAGTAGGCATTCTTCTTAACAGGCCTTAAGCCATGTCAGTCCGAAATGTCCACGGATCTGGTAGAACGATAACCGTGGGCCGTGGTAAGCGCTGGTTTGTCCTCACTATACTTGAACCCTTAACTGACTAAAATAGTTTTTTAATATTATGTTTGTATAACATGTCTACACATGTAATGGAACTTACCAACAGAGAATAACGTGATATTTTTGTTACAGGAATATATTACAAGAATTAAAGACCATGTTGTTGGTATGGGCAATGTTGTCAGAGTGGGGCCTTTGCAAAATGGAGAAGTCTATTTAGTTGAAAATAGTAAAACTCATCCTTCAACCAAGTCATATGCACTGCCTTTAAAAATATCTAATATCTCAAAAGGTGTTAAGTATAACATAGTACCAAAAAATGCTTCAGACAAAAAACTTGTTTTAGATTCTCAAGGAAATGTCGTTAGTAGTGCTGCTAATCTTCCAGATTATAAGTCCAGTCCTATATTAAGTAGGATTGTAAAAGATAAACTGCATGTGATGCACATTGAATCTGATAGAATTAAGAGTGCAGTGGAACATGGACCAGTATATGATAAACTGCTTAAAAATTTAAGTGATTTGAATATGCCTCTCTCTAATGATGTTTATTTACAACCTATAAAACTTTTTCGTGATGAATACAATAAAAATCCTCAATTTAGAGATGAAACAAATGAATTTGCCAGCAAAGCTTTGGGTGCTCAAATAATGGCAGATTTATGGCCCACCAGCAACAATAATGTTATGGGTACTGCAAAGATGTTAGATAGTAGGATACAAAAGGGCACTATCTTTGCACCAAATGGAGAAATATGGAGTTGGAAACATGAGCCAACTACTCCTGAGCTTAGTAGCACTATTTGTTCTACAAGAATAAATCCACAGTTTTCTTCTTCATCAAAACCTATGAATCAAGTTGAACCACAACAGACTGCACCTTTAAGAGAATATCTCCGAACTCATTCTGAAGAAGAACTTCCGCCACCCCCAGTGCCTAATTATCACACATATCCTGGAGCTTTGCCACAACCTACTACTCTTGTTGATTGGAATTCATCTGAAAATCACAATCTACCCGAAAATGCCGCCCAAATCGTGGCGCAACCTGTGATGAATTATGCAGAACAAGTAGATCCAATACTTACACAATTTTCTGAAATGTCACTGAGTCCAGCTGAAATGGAATTCAACAGAAAACTATACAATGAAGGTGTACCATGTCAACGATGCCACAAGCCGATGTTTGCAGGCGAAGTGGCTGTGAAAGCTGAAAGAGCAGGCCAAGAAGCTATTTGGCATCCACAGTGCTTTACATGTTGTAAATGTGGAGAATTGCTCGCCGATCTTGTTTATTTCTTTTATAAAGGTGAAATTTATTGTGCAAGAGATTTAGCTAATGTTCTTGAGATACCACGTTGCGCTGGCTGCGATGAATTAATATTTACTAGACCGTATACGGCTGCTGAGGGAAGAGCGTTTCATGTGCAGCATTTTTGTTGCTACCATTGTGATGCTCCACTTGGTGGTAAAAAGTATGTTCCCGATGATAAAACGGGACTGCCAATTTGTCTTTCGTGCTATGATCAATATTACGCTGAAAGATGTCGTGCTTGCAGCGGTGTCATTGGCCCGGAACAACAGGGGGTGTCTTGGAGCTCTGTGCATTGGCATGCGAATTGCTTCATATGTTCTGGAAGAATGTGCGGCAAGAGTCTTCTCAGTGGTAGATTTGTAGTCAAGCAAGAAATGCCTTTTTGCAGTGTACCTTGCGTACAAAGTAGAATTAAGTAAAAGAAAGCTTTCTTTTTTCTTTTTCTTCTTTTCAGGTCTTTTTCGAATGACTATTTTGATACTACTTTTTATAGTATATAGGATATGATATTTTTGAAGGTTGTGTATTGAAGTTGTTTAGCTACTTTTGAAGGCCTTCTTAACTTTCGGCATTGCCAATATTTATAAAAAATTATCATATAAAAGAATGCATATTTTTGTACCATTAAATATGGTTTGTTTACCTATATTTTATAATAATAAGTTAGAATAATTATTAAATAATAGCATAATAAGTTAGTCAATATTTTTTATACAAAATTATATTGGTATTTTTTAAGAAAAAAAGTGTTCTTGTTAAAAAGAGTATATGTATCCATCTATCTATATACAACGTGTTGTTACCATCGCGACAATAAATGAACACACATATAGAGGATAACTTTTAAAAATTGTATTAAACATCTTTAAACATCAATATTTACCGAGTTATAAAAATTTCCAAAACAAACAATTTTAGAACACCCTTACGTATAAAACGGTAACGTAAAGTTCATTTGTAAAGGTCACAAAGCATATGAATGGGTTGAATGAATTTGAAAGAGATAAAACCTACTGTTAGAAGGAGATATTTGTAGTGCCATGCTGCGGCAAAGAATGAAAAAGTGTCCGAATATATGAATCAGTCAGTTGTAGATATATAGGTGTTACAAATTTTGTTTCTCTTTTATTTAATTAGTTTGTTTGAAAAATATATTTTTTTAATTTTGGATTTTTTTAACGATTTAATTTTTTTATGATTATTGGCAAGTAGCATGATTTGTGTTAATATATTATCGCGGTTGTAACGACACGCTGAATATATATATATATATGTACATATATACATACGTAAATATATACATATATATAAATGTCATATCAAGTGCCAATGTATAATTATTAAGGGACCAAAATTACATTTCAAATAAATGATTAAATATTCCGTTACTATGTTCCGTACATATCAATATTACCAAAATTATTATGCATTTATACTAAAATGTTCTGTTGTCACTACAAGAAATATATGATTATTTTAAATGTATCTTTTACTAGTGTTACATATACAGTCTTGATTACTGAAATAAATAGTAAAGTTGGCATAAGTATCTACCAAATTGATGACAGGTTCATGCCAATTTTCTACTTGAATTGTCATAATATTATGTTGGTTATTGGTAAGAAGTGAAACTCTAGTTAGTGCTCATTGGTCAGAACACAATGGTAATAAAAATTATTAACATATAAGCACTACCTAACAAAATAGGCAATGTTAATTAGTAATCTTCTGATGAGATCACCCATCCTATTACAAATTTGATAATGTTCTTATAATTTAAAAATAGAAAAAAATCATTGGTGTACATCATTGAATGCAAACCTGCGTCCTTATACCGTCTTTATTTGATATATATTAACATGCCTGGCCATCTATATAATACATATTGATGTGTCTAAGCGAATAGCCAGTAATTTATTTATTAAAATGAAATTTTTTTAAGCATTGCATTTATCTTATTCTATTTACAAATCTGCATTAATTTAACCAATTATTACAAATATGTTTGTCTGATAGAAAGAGGTGATATAAATTGATTTCTGTACAATTCACTGTGCCATTACTGTAATAAAACTGGAGGAAAGGTTGACTAGTAGAAAATGCCATTAGGCATTCATTCCGCCCCTTAGCTTAAGGTGTAGCAATAAAATTTTAATACATAAATAAATAATATTTGTATTCAGAAAATAATTAATTTTACAATAAATATTCAACACAAATAGTTTTCGTTTTTCTTTAATTTTATCCAAGTCTTTTGTCCATTCAAATTTACGTCGTGAGGCATTGGCCACTTGGCTTATTTGGTAAAGCGTCTGGGCGCCAAACCAGAAGACGCAGGTTCGAATCCGTAGCCCCTAAAGTTTTTGTTCATTTACAAATAATTGTGCGAAAAGAAATCATTTTTCGTATAGAAACAACATAATTTAAATAATTTACATCTACATAGTTAAAATCCTTTGATCAACTACTATTTTAACATACTTATGATACATGGCTATAACTAATTAAAACCATTTCCAATTTTGTTAATATTTATTCACATAAATGACACAATGGTGGAAGTAGTCACTTTGCCACCTGTTATTTTACACCATGTTAGGGTTCAATCCCTACATGGGATATACATGTTATTAAAATGAATTCTCCCAAGCCTGGGTATATACACTGCACTACAGATGCACTGTTCCTTGGTATGCATGTCAATTCTATAGAGAAAAAAAAAGACATTAGTTGAAATACAAGACATTCCTAAGAAGAGAAATAAGCAGCAAGATAACACAAATATTTAAAAAAATCAGTGAAGTGCAAGTCGAACTTGTGCACTGAGAGTTCCGTATCTACTAATTATACCGCCAATAAGAAATTTGGTAAAAATTCACCACCATTTTTTTTTGCTTGTGGGGAAATCCGTTATGGGTACCTGAGCTCCCTGTGAGGGAAACCTCGGTTATGTCGGACTCGCACCGACTAAAACCCCACGGTGGTCGCCAGCTACTCAAATGAGGGGTCACGGGATCTCCTTTCGGAACACAACCGCGGCCATTCTTTGTATGGCTAAGATAGCCCCATCCGCGCAGTGTTGTATATAATTCAAGACCGATTTGAGCCATCGGGTCCTACTCTTATGGGTCTTTTTGCAAGACCTTTAGGACTTGTACCTGCGTAGGTCTGCTGCTCTCACAGCGACCGTTGTGCCCCTGTTTAAGGTAGGGGAGAACCATCAATATTTTGTATTTGGTATTTAGTTGAAAACATTGCCATTACTTTAGGATAACATTATCATGTGTTGTAATGATGTTTTACAAACATAAATTTCACGCAGACAAATACCCAGAAGCGAAACAAATATCTGTGGGTCACACGAATAGTTGTCCCATGTGGGAATCGAACCCACGACTCCTGACGCTGAAGCTAATACCTTGGCAACTGCGCCACGGAGTGATTTAAAGGGCTATGAGATGCGCAAGGATCTCTGCGGCCCCTCCTGCTTTAAGACATTGCTTTTAGCCAAATTTCATGGTTTTAGGTCAACAGGAACTACTATATAGGCTTCCAACCCAAAACCTATAGGGTAGTTCGATTGACTTAGAATTGTATCAGTTATATGTATATATCAGTTACCTGGTACCCATAGCATAAACTGATTAATGTGGGACTATAAACAGTTGAATAAAAATGAGTCCAGAAGTGTTAATTAAAAAAACAAACAAGAAGACAAGTCACATCCTAAATTCATGGTAATTTATGTTTGTGAAAGGTTTATAACAGAATCTAACAAAATATCCTTTTAAAACATAGTGTCACACTGAAAATTGAAATAACAGTAGTTATTGATTTCATTTAATAACCCTATGAAGTAAAAATTTAAATAGGATAAAAGGTAAAAAAAAATAGAAATTTGTTATTTACTTTATTCATATATATGACATATTCATATAAATTACTATTTATACAAGTGATAAAAATAGTTTCAATTGTTAAAAGCTTGTAGAGTTATGGATAGATAAACAATTACTAACCTTCAGTAGGATAATTCTTGTTGAGGTTTTTAATTCAAAACTATAACAAAAAATATTATGTGATGACAATTTTTTTATTAAGTTGTTATTTTCTGAACTGTAATGGAATTAGAAAAACACAGAATGGCATGGAAAAAACATTTAAAAAACTTAAAAAACTAAAAAATTAAGCTGCTATCTTTAAATTGCCAAGATCACTTCTTAGTTTATTAAGATTTGCCTGTATAGCTTCCTGTTTGTTTTCTAAAGTCAATATGTGACCATCCGTACGTTTTATTTCTTTGGTGATATATTCCATTCTTTTTGCAACATTTTGCTTTGCTTCTTCTAATTCTTGCTTAATTAATACGGGTCCGATGAGCTTGTATACTTCTGCATCTTTTTTAAGTAGGACAAGTTCTTCTTGTACGGCTTTATTTTCATTAAGTTGACTATCCAATTGTTGTTTTTGTGCTACGGCCTTATGATATTCTTTTTGAACACCATTGAATATTTCTAATTCCTTTTGCATTTTTTTCTGTATTTCTTCAGTCATTTTCATCAAAATTATGTTTATAGTACTTAGATTTATATAAAATCAGAGGGTACTTTATAACACTTAGCTGTTTATGAAGCTACTATATTAAGCATTCTTTGAAATAAGAAAAAAATTCTGAAGTCTGACATAAAATTTTAGGTTAGGTTAAAATTAAATACATATTTTTTTACAGCAAAGTTTCAGTTTAAGTCGTTATTGGATACAGCCAGAATCGTGGTAATATTAAATATTTAATTTTAATTTTCATATAAAATTTAATAATATACAGAGTCTTCAATTTTTTTAAAAATAATAAAGTTTTTTTTAAAGTGTTTCGATATTATTACACGATTAAGTGTTTGCTGTTAGTCCGGCAACTTTGATCACTGCTTCAGAAGCAGAAGTAGAAGTGAGGGGCGTATTTATCGTAATAGGTAAATATAACATATTTATTTATACAACGTATTTATTTATAGAGATAACATATTGTACCTGTTACGTACAAACTTAAATAACAGTTCCTGTTCCACACAACGCGCTGTCACAAGCTTTTCTTTATTTATGCTTACGACTGTTCTGTTACCTTAGTTAGAAAGAGATAAAAACTGTCACGCCTTGTCACAGTTGTTACTAAACACTGTTACTGTTACAAGCTCTTTCTTTTTCTTGCATCGGTCTTATAGCTTTTTTAGAAAGAGAAGTACGGACGTTACCGTAGGGCAGAGGCGGATTATCCTTAAGGCAAACTAGGCATGTGCCTAGGGGCGCGAGGGTACAAAGGGGCGAGTGGGCGGAGTTGTGAAATAAAGAAAATATTTATAATA